TGTGTGTGTGTGTGTGTGCCTGGAGGCAGGAGAAAGAGAGACAGCCAAACTGTGGTAGGGTCGGGGTCAGTTTCACCAGAGTGGGATGCTGGTAGAAAAGAGAAACACACTGGTGGCTCCTCTTCCTTTCAGTGGTGGTGGCAGGTCAGGGGACTGAACAAACCTTTCTCCCCTGGTGGGCTGGCCACATCAAAACTGGTAGCTTGCACAGGTTTTGAGGGGGTGTGAGGGCTGTGTTCTCCACCGGGAACGCCGCCCCTGTCTGTAAGACTGCTGGAACCGGGGGGGTCAGACCAGCCTGCTGGTTTTGGGGGGCCTGCTGGTCTATCGCTGAGGGGCTTTGGCTGAAAGCAGAGGAACAGCAGGTCCCTCTGCTTACTGCCGTTCCCCTCATCTGAAACCGTAAAGAGGATTTCACTCTCTACATCCGGACTGTAAAGGCAAAGTTAACCCTCTCCCCCCGTCATCCGGCCCCCCACTCTGAACACAGCGATGGCTGGGACCAAAGAGGAGCTCATGGAAAGAGGTTGATTCTCATTTGGGATGGTGGGTCGGTGTGTTCTGTCCTTTTGAAATGATCCGTCTTTTGCTTCTCACTCACCAGCATGATTTCAAAGGCACCAGTGCTGAAGGTGGAGACATGATGATGGGACAGGATGATGAGCTGGGCCTGATGTTCCTCCCCAGCTGCAGAACACTGGCAGGATGTTAGCATCAGCATCTCTTTGGTGAGCACACACTTTGAGGGTCTCTTTTTGCTGTCAGAGTGAGGACTATAACCTCAGACTCTGGCAGGAATCAGGATGCGGAGGTGAGTGAGATGTCGTCCAGTGATGAACTGGGAAGGGCCTACACTGAGAACAGCTGTGGACTGGGACTGGAGAAGCCTTCTGTTGTTTCTCATAGCAACAGCTGCATGTAGCCCAGCTGTCCTCCAGCTTTTGCTCCATGGCAGCTAGTTTCATTTATCTTTGGGGTTCGTGGTGCTTTTACACGTACAGCCAACCAGTAAACTGTGGGCAGTAATACGTTAGTACCGGCTTTGAACTCCAGATGTTTAGTCAGATGGCTGTTTTTATGTCAGTACACAGCTTCTCCACCCTGCTGCTGCTCAACTCAGCACAGGTCTGGAGGCCTTTCAACTTTACCTAAGCCATGAAATAGCTTATCCCAGGTTAGGGAATAAAGTACTTTGACCTGGTTGTTGTCAGTCATGGCAGAAGTGAGCTGTAAAATCCCAGAATACAGACTGAAATAAGCTGATCTGAGCCGTTCCACCAGGCTGAAAACGCTGTGGATCTTTCCAGAGGGGAAGTTCTCCCCGAGAGGCCTCGGCTTCATGAACAAAGCCTCAGCTAAAGATTCAGTTTTCTTTGTCACCGTGGTAACAGTAGAGAACTTCAAAGTTTCCACAAGAAAACCCAGGCTGTGTGGTAGTGGGGCTCGGAGGCACAGACGTGGCGTTCTCACTCTGTTTCAGCAGAGGGGTAAGTGTGTGTGCCACACCCCTGTGTCACAGTTTAAGCTCCAGCAACTTAAGATGCAGCTCCTGTCATGGAGCCGTGTCCAGATGGAGCATCCAGACCACTGACCGGGACTGGATTCAATGTTGTATAACAGGGAAAGTGTGTTTCAGGGGAAAGGGGATCCTCTGGACACAGTTTCTAGTATATAAACATAATGAAGAATGAAAAGGAGACCAAGAACAAATATGTACCTAATAATGTTCCTTCAGAATTGAGAAAATATAACGATTCACTCAAAGTGAGAGGTAAGAGTGTCAGCTGCTGTTTGTGGGCTACACCATCATTCGCTCCTCACTGTTTTCTCCTTGGAGCATCTGGGACTTCATCTGTGTGCAGCTGGATCTTCATATTCTCTTTAAATGGACAGTACGGTGGACAGCAGGTCCAGATCCTCTGCACACGCCACTCAGCGTGACATGGAAACTTCAAACTTATTTTGTACATTCACAATGAAATAACTTTAATTACAATGCCCTTACTTACAAAGCATTCCTCCTACAATCATTAATGTTTCTACCAATACATTTAACTGGGGCTTTGCAGAAAAAGGAAAGAAAGAGTGATCTCATGTGGGAACAATTGCACCGTTTGTCTCTTAGTTTTATGCAGATTTCCTAACAAATGGTGATTTACACTGACTGCTTGATCTACATTTACATGAATTTACGGATGGATGAGCCCACCTAAGAGCCCCTGGTCCACTGCCTGCTTTGTGTGTTGGATTATGGGAATGTGCATTTCTCACTGTGAGAAAAACCGTGATGTCTGCACACAGAAAAATGCCTTTTGGGGAAACAACTCCCAGCTCTCCTCTTGTTTCCATTTGTCCCCTTTAATCAGAGACATGGGACCAGGGCTGAGTGAGAGAGCTTTCTATATAAAGAGATGGCATGCTGAGGTCCCTGGGGGGGGCAAATGAAAGATAAATTGGAACACAGGACCAGCCTTTTTTTCTTTTCCTTTTTCCACTTCTTTTTTTTTTTCTTGGCCCTCGTTGGCTTTTTCTTGCTGTAGCTCCACAGAAACCGGAGGCTAAATGCTGGTTGTTAAAGCTCTGACGAGTGAACCGCATCAGTCTTCAGAGCTCCATGGTAACAGAAAAACACTGATCCCTCACTTCT